CGCCCCTCCCTCTGATTCCCACCACACCAACAAGCCCGTCCCCCAGACCGCCGCGGCGAGGCCCCATCCAAAGTGCGTGGCTGTAATACGCACGGCCCAAAAAGTTGTATGGTGCATTACGAAACAATGTTCCCATGCACTAAAGCAAAGCGCTTCAACAGACCCGCATGCAACACCCAATGCTGTGTGATCGAGCGAATAAGTGTCAGGATAATGTGCGCTGCAGGCACCTCGAGTGGTGTTGCACATCTTGCAAAGCAAAATTCGTATGAGCAGCTCTTACAGAGGGCAGAGCTTCCCAGGAACCTCTAAAGAACGCTAGCGAGCAGGGTGCCCCACATGAGTGCTTGACGGCAGGGCGGAAGACGACACACACTACTGCTGAAGCCTTGCAAGCAACTGAGTGCGCTCAAAACAGCATGTTCTTGGGCATCCTCTTGCCGTAAAACCTCTCGTAGTGCGCTGCGTTGCGCTGCTTAGCCTCGGCAACCGAGAGGGTGCCGTCTGCGACCCTGAGGGTAAAGGGGTGGTGGGAGGGGTGAGCTTGGGGCAGCATCGTGAGTGGACTGGCAGGTGCCACGGCGGTGCCCGTTGCGGGATGGCTGCACAGAGCGTGATGCTGCTGCAGCGTGTGTGGATGTGGGGGCCGGCTGGCCCGATGAGGAGGCTCCAGATGCTCAGCTGTTGCAGGCACCCGCAGAGCACGGAAGCTCAAGCTTTGATCGGCGTCAGATTTTTGAACATCTGCAAAACTACACCCCAACATGCGGTGTACCGCATCACCCATTGCAGCCCTGCACACCTGGCGCCCTTGTCCTCGCCCTCGCCCTCCACCCACTCCCCGCTACGAAAAACGAAGCGTCCAGATCCGACAGGCTCGCCCGGCGGCCGCGGCGTTGTCATGCGCAAAAAGCTGATGCGGGCTGCAAGCTCTTTGAGGTGGTGCAGCGCTTGCTCTGGGTCGCGCTCGCCGCTGCGCGCTCGGATTGTGGTGCGCGCCTCGGCCTCGGCCACTAAAGCCTTGTCCGCCGGTAGCCGGCGTATAAGGCGCAAAAGCTGCCTGTAGTGTGCTAGCACTCGCGCGCTGTGCTGCTCGATCATACGTGGGGACTGATCTGCACGATGATCGCCAATTTGTCATAGCAACATAGCGAGGGGATCATCTCTTTGGTGATTGTGGTGCAAGTACTAGTGGAAAAGTTACGGGCAGGGATACCCCACTCGCTTTGTGCACTCTGCTGCTTGCCGCACTTGTTCCTTCGGATCCCCGGTGAGACGGTGACGGCCGACTACGACTCCAAGGTAGTTGAGGTATACTTTGATCTCTTCGCTATCATATCACCTGACAAACAAGTTTGACTGTTGCTTCGAACCCGACACTCACCCGAGTGTGTCGGGCCAACCCCTGCTGTCAATAGGTTGCAACGCTTGTCATAAGAACCAGGGCGTCAACGTGTTTTTGAGTGAGATTGTAGCACATGAAAAGCTGCTGTTAGACTGCTTGACTCAGACGAGAGCCAAGCCCGTGCGGGGCAAGGCGTTCCGAAGGTCAGCAAAATGGAGGACGCCTTCTACTACATTGTATGGAGCATCATAGTCCTGCCTTTGACAGCCCTGTGTTGGAAGGAGGTGGGTTGGGTTGGGCTTCACGCGACAACGCACGCGCACACCGCCGCTCAGCGGATGGCTGTTGGCCTCACCGCGCTCTATCCCCACCCATGATCGCGCTCCCATCACGCCCTGCAACCTTGTGTTGCTGCGTCATGCGAGCTTGGGAGCGCCGGTTGCCGCAGCTGCTGCAGAGATCGCATTCACCTTGGCGTACTGCACGCACCCTGCCCGCCGCAGGGCATCGCCGCGATCTCAGACAACTCCCAGGCGTTCAAAGCCTTCAGGAACAACTACCTGGCAGTGTACAGCCTGCAGGTGGGCGTTACACACCCTCTCCTCCTTTGCACAGTGGCAGGCCGTGCCTGAAGTTACCACCGCCCCAGGCACACATGCCTGCTCACTGCGACACGGGAGGCATGTCACTGCACCCTCGCCCCCTCTTGACACTTTCGGCCGCCATTCCAACAACATCGGCACTCCTTTGCAGATGCGTGAGTGGCTGCGGTGTCACCAAACGGGCTGCGGCTTCGCACCTGCCATCGCAGCAGCATGAGCGGCAGCCGCGGGACCGACTCTTCGCGTCTGCACGCCGCCATGCAATCCTGCGCTGCATGCGGCAGCTGCCTGCTTGCATGCGTGTGCGCACATGCTCGCAACAGCAAGCGCCTGATACACCCCCCTACAAACCCCCCTCAATCCCATCCACAGTCCCCCCTGCACCCCCCACACCTCCATCACCACCACCCCCCACACCAGTCGGTGACTGGCTGCAGGGCCCATATGTGTACGCGCTGTATGAGCACTACGGCTACTCGCCCGCCCAGATCGGGCAGCTATTCATCGCCGGGTTTGGCTCCTCCATGGTGTTTGGGACGTTTGTCGGGGCCCTCGCCGACAAGCTGTGAGCGCCGCAGGGCGGCGATGGGGACCCCCCTCAGCAGCAGCAGCTTGGGCGTCAGTGCCGGCCACGATGCGCTGATAACCGATAACGCGGTTGCAGATGCGTACAACAAACGTGTGTACAACACACGTGCGTACAGCACACGTGCTGGTGTTCTAATGTTGCCATGCTTTGTCATGGTGTTGTGCAGCATGCAGATATGCATGTCATTCCAAGCCTGCTCGACCCTGACGCGCCCCGGCCCCCTCCGCGCCGCCTGCCGCCCCTCCGCGCCCCTCCGCGCCGGCCCCCCCCAGCGGCCGCAAGAACGCCGCGCTGGGCTACGTTGTGACGTACTCGCTGTCGTGCTGCACCAAGCACTCCCCCGACTACTGGGTGCTCATGGGGGGCCGCGTGCTGGGCGGCATCGCCACGTCGCTGCTGTACTCGGCCTTCGAGAGCTGGCTGGTCGCGGAGCACTTCAAGCGCGGATACTCGGGTGCGCGCGCGCGCGCGCGTGTGTGTGTGTGTTTGTGTGCATGCGTGTGTGCGCGTGCGTACGCGCGCAAGCACGTGTTTGTGTGTGTGTGTGTGTGTGTGTGTGTGTGTGTGTGTGTGTGTGTGTGGTGAATGCGCGCACGCGGGGGTAATAGCGGCGGCCGGGCAAGCGGATGTCCCTTTGCAGCCGGCGCAGCTGGGGTTGTTAGGGTGCGCTGCGTCGCAGCAGCGGGTTCCTCTGTCCCGCCGGCGGCAGCATGCAGAGTCAGCCATCTCCGCCTCCTCTTGGGGTGCAGGCCGGCTTACCGTTCACCATCCGACTCCGTCCTTTGCGCCCACCCCTCGACATGCAATGGCCAGAGCAAGCCCTGGGCCAGACGTTCTCGTATGCCGTGTTCCTGGGCAACGGGCTGATGGCCATTCTGGCTGGGTTCCTGGGGGACTACCTGGTGGAGAAGATGGGCCTGGGCAGGTGGGTGGAGCGCGCATACAGCTTGCGCGCACAGGTGCATGCCTGTGCATGTGTTCTCTTGTGAGTGCACATGTGAGTGTTTGTGTGTGGGTGGGTACGAGTGCTTTTGCGTGTGCATGTGTGTGTGTGCATGTGTGTATGTGTGTGTGTGTGCACGCGCTTGTGCATGTATGTGTGTCTCTGTGCGCACGCGTGTGCGTGTGCGCGCGCGTGTGTGTGTGCACGCGCTTGTGCATGTACGTGTGTCTGTGTGCGCGCGCGTCTGTATGTGTGTGCACAGTATGTTCACCTGTGTGTGTGTGTGTGTGTGTGTGTGTGTGTGTGCATGTGTTGTGTTTGAGTGTGTTTGCGCGCACTGCGTGCACGAGTGCGCACTTGCCAACACAAGCATGCACACATGCATGTGCTCGCTTGAGTACCTACAGCACTCACCACCCTGGCCGACCCCGTCCCCGCCCTTGCAACGGCCCAGGGTGGCGCCGTTTGACGCCGCCATCCTGTTCATGGTAGTGGGCGGCATCCTCATCGCAATCACATGGCCTGAGAACTACGGCGACACCAGCTCACACGACTTGTCACAACAATTCACCAAGGCGTGGGACGCCATCACCAAGGGTGCGCAGGGCGCGTCCAGTGGCCATCAGTGGCGCGCACGCTCACACGCACGCAGGCACGAACGCAACCCGCCCGACCCACGTGCCCCAGCCCATGTCGCCCGCGCCAGCCCCGCCGTCCCGCTCGCCATCCTCCCCTGCTGTCCGGCACCCCAAACCTCCCCCTCCCTCTTCCTCCTTGACCCCGCCCCCCTCATCTCATGCAGACCCGTGCATCGCCCTGCTGGGCGCCATCCAGGCCATGTTCGAGGCCGCCATGTACTCCTTCGTCTTCCTCTGGACGATGGCCATGTCGCCCAACAAGGAGGCCATCAAGCACGGCCTCATATTCGTCAACTTCATGACGGCGTCCATGATGGGCAGCTTCCTGGCGGGTGTCCTCATGAAGAGGGCGCGGCCGGAGTATTACATGAAGTATGTTTTCGGGGCGGCCACGGCGGCGCTGCTGGTGCCGATGGTTATGGCGCTGGACACATCCAAGAACCCAGGTGGGCGGGGCCGCCGGCTGGGGCGGAGCGGCCGCTGGCGGGGCTTTTGGGGTGATGTGGGCTGCGACGATGGGGCTGCCGCCGTGGCCTACAGGGCCACGGACTGCGATGGCGCCGCCGTGGGTGCGGCCAATTGACGGCACCAAGGGGGGAGATGGAGGCGGCCCAGCCTCTGTGGGGCAGGGCCATGGCGCTGCCGGCGTGTGCCCTTGGCCGCCGGTATGCGCATTCCCCCCACGTCACGCCTTCCGCACTTTCGGCTCGCGCTGCCTTGACCAATGGCTGCAAGTAGCCCACCATATATATATTTACCCACCATATATATATATATATATGGTGTATATATATATATATGTATATATATATGTATATATGTATATATATATACCCAGCAAGTCGGGCCAATCGGCAACTTGCCATTCCCTACCCGGGTCGTCTGGCTGCGCCTCACAGAGCTGAAGGGGAAGCCCATCACGCACTCCGGCAAGATCCAGCTCATCGCCTTCTGCGTGTTTGAGACCTGGTGAGCCTGCAGCCGGCCCCGCCCCACCGCTCTCCAGTGCGCCCTGACCCCTCAACCGCGGGCCACTCCCCTTGACCCATTCGGCCGCGGCGCAGGGCGACTCCTTGCACCGGCGGCGCCCCGCGCCCGCAGCACTGCGAGTCTGCAGCACAACGCATGCCCTCGATCCACTCATCTTCAACCCAACCCCGGCCCATGGGTCTCATCGATTAAGAGCCCGCTCAAACCCTGTGCTCGCCCCCTCCGCCCCCAGCGTTGGGGTGTTCTGGCCGTCCATGATGAAAATGCGGTCAGACTACGTTCCTGAGGAGCTGAGGGCCACCATCATCAACATATTTAGGGTGCCCCTTAACCTGTTCGTGTGCGTCGTGCTCGGCAACGTGAGCCGGAGTCGGGGGCGGCTTGGGGGCCGGCCGGCCGCCGCGCCGCGGCGCGGGCGATGGGAGCGAGCGGGGCATCAGGGCTGTGCCTGCTCGCGAAGGGTGTCGTCTTGGACCCGTCTGCGGTTGGTGCCAGCGCTGACGAACACACCCCGCACCCCTACAGAGCAGGCGTGGGATGCTGTGGGGTGACTGGTCAACGGGCAGCGGCGCCTCGTCCTGGCTGCCCGTCGGCAGCTCGCAACCCATCCACCATCTGTCCCCCCTTCCCTTCCCCGCCCCGCCCCCCTTCGCCCTCGACGCCGCAGGTCGAGGCGTTCCCCCTGGCCGGCATGTTTGGCCTGTGCGTGGCGTTCATGGTGGTGTCTATGGTCAGCCAGACGCAGCTGGACAAGTTCTCGCAGGCGCGGCCCGTGTACCACAAGGTTTCAGAGGCGGCAGACGCTGAGGAGTCTGGGCACGTAGGCAAGGGCGCCACCGTGGCCGACTCTTGAGGGGCCGCGTAAAATCAAGGGGCATTTCGTCCCAAGAGGACGCGCGCGGAGGGCGCCTGCGACGCGCGGGCCCTTGCGACACGCGCACGGCGGCCGGCTGGTGGCAGCGTCGCAGCCGGGGGCGCACCAGGGCCTGACGCCGCAGCCACGCCGCCCCAGGGGACAGCGGTGGCGCTGTGCGTCGGCCGCTGGTGTGTTTGGTGGGGATACGACCGCAAGGCGATGTTGGAAGGGTGAACCCTGCGCCCGCCCGGCAGCAGGCGCCGAAGTTGCGCCTGGACCAGGCCCCGTTATGTTTGCATTGTAAGTAAGCCTAGACTGACATCATTGTGCGATCTGGGTCATTCATCGATTGTGGTGAAAGGTCTAGAGGTTGTCCCAACGTTTCCAGCAGCTGCATCACAGCAACACACAGCTTTCAAGGTTGTGGTGTTACACGCCAGTGCCGCCAAATGCCACAGGACGGGCCGCAGCCGCATCAGAAAATGGATGTGCATACACGCTGAGCAATGCTTGCTACCATGCTTGAAGCTTGAAGCGGGCCGGGCATGAGGGGGTTGTGCACGCGCCCCGCCAGCACGCCGAGCGGGGCGGCTGAGGTGGCCAACGACCAGATGCTCGCGGGCGGTCAATGCAGCAGACGCAGGGCATTGCTGCGCGCGTGCGGTCAGACAGATCCAGTCCCCTTCGTGTTTAAGTGAGGTTTTGAGCGCAACTGGACGTCCGATCGCCTGCCTATGAGATGTGACAAACGAGGAATCAGAGCCGCACGCACAAAACCCACATTGCAGCGCTGTGTTGGGCGACAGCTGCACCCGCGCCACGCGCAAGCCACGCGCCCCTATTGCCGGCCTGCGGCAGCAGCGCGGCGCCGCTCACCCAGCGCGCCCGCAGCGGGCAGCGCGAGGGACACGCCCGCTCGCCACTTCTAACACCGTTTGTGCTTTCAACGCAGTTTTTCAAGGGCCATTATCGTCGGGCCCCAGCTTGGGCCCCGGCACAGACGGCTGGGGCAGGCGCATGGGGGGGGGGGGTGAGGGGCAGGTCTGCAGGTCTCCCGGAAGGCCTGCGTGCCCATTGTGTCCCATGAATCCCAAGACCCCATCCAAGAAAATGGAGTCTGAAAAGAGATCGATCCAATCAAGAGAAAGAAGAAGGCCAGGCGACACATGTGAGGGTGCACAACCCTGGCAATCCAAAGGCGGCAAGCAGGTCGCCGATGCGTGCTCGCGCTCGCGCTCGCGCGCGGCGCCGCGGCGGCGTCATGGGCCGACGATTGTGGCGATGCGTGCTGTCGCTAAAAGAGGCCCTTGGCCTTCTTGACGGTGATGCGCTTCCAGTTGGGCATGGCCCTGAACTCGTCTTTCTCCATGCCAAAGATCTTCGTGAACTCCTCGTTGGAGAGATACTCCTCCTGGACAGGGAGTGTGTGTGTATGTGTGAGTGTGTGTACGACTGTGTGTGGGTGATTCGTGAGGGTGTGTGATATGTGTGTGCGTGCGAGTGACTGTGTGGTGTGTGTGTGGGGGGGGATCAAACGTGCTGGTGGCAAGCATGCGTTCTCCCAACACAGAACCGCCCAGTGACAAGATCTTTAGCCCCCAACACCTCCCCTCCCCGTCGCACGCAGACCTCGCAAGCAACCCCGCTGCCAAACACCCCCCTCCCTCGCCCCGGCCCGCCGCTGTGCCCCTTCCGTTTCTGGCCCCCAGGCGTCGCCGCACCTTGCGCGACACGTCCAGACCGTCCTCCAGCCGCAGCTCCTTGAGCTCCTCATACGGCACCACGTCCACGCCGGGCCTCAGCTTGAACTCGCCGGCCTGCAGCACCTGCGCAACGCGGCGGGCGCGGCGGCCGCCGCCGAGGTGTGAGGCCACGGGCGCAGCAGCGCGCGAGCCGCTTGCGCGGCCTTGCCTGTCACGCCATGCGCACCGCTGCAGCAACCTCCGTCCGACCCCGCATGGTGCCGCCCTGCAACGGCAGCAGCCTTTCGCCAACATCCACGCCTGGGTTCTGGCTTGCCACGCTTGCAGTGTACAGCCTAGAGCCCCACCCACCCTCTTCCCCCTCCTTTGCCCTGGCCCGCGCCTTGGCCACCACGGCCCCCGCCCACCAGCGCCACGTTGGCGGTGTTGACCAGGTCGTGCTGAGTCAGCGCGACGCCGCTCGCCGCCCTCGACGCGCTCACGCCCCCGTCGCCGCGATCCGCGCCCGCGGCGGCGCCGTTGACGCCGCCGTTGCCGCCGCCCGCCTCAAAGTGCTCAGTCAGCTCTTTCGCCATCTCGGTCACCCTCACCGGGGACGAGCGCACCTGGGGTTGTTGCAGGCCGGGCGCCATGGGTGCAGCGCAGGGACATGAGATGCCATGCCACAGATCATTGGATGGGGATGCGACCGCATTGATGAGATTTTAAGAGTTCAAAGAGTGATCGCATGGGATCGCAAACACGCCGTTTAGAGGACCGGGGCTGGGGACGCCGGGCATGGCGCCACCGAAGGCAGCGGCGGGCCGCGTACCCAAGACTGCGGGTTATCCATTCGGACCTGCTGCAGTGGCACGCCCCTGCCAGCAGATCTGCAGCGTTGGCTGCAGGTGCGGGGGACAGAGGGTACCAGGTGAGCTGCCCCCACGCGCCGGCTCAGCGCTCCCACCTCATCAGCAGTGTCGCACGCCCGCACGACCTCCGCCGTCGGGTTGGTAGGCACCACACCCTTGCCTGCACCGCGGGTGCCCGCGACAGTGCGGGCGCCGGAGTTTGACCTGATGATCTCTGTTGCCTCTGCCAGCTCTGCGGTCTCTGCGGTCTCTGCCGGCTCGGTGGGCTCACTGTGCTGCTGCTGCTGCTGCTGCACCTCCTCCTGTGCCTCCTGCTGCTCCTGCTGCTGCTCCTGCTGCTCGTCTTGCTGCTGCTCCTGCTGCTTTTCTTGCGCCTGCTCAACTTGCTGCTGAAGCTCTTGCTGCTGCTCCTCCTCCTGCTTTTGCTGCTGCTGTCCCTGCGGGCCCTCCTCCTCTACTTTGACCTCTTCGGCCGCGGCAGGAGAGGGCTCCGCAGGGCTGGGATCTGCAGAGAGGTCTGTGAGGCCCGCATCAGCAGCAACAACCAGTGCAGCCGTCACGCCGCCTGCCGATGATCGCTTGCCCCCACGAGACTTGCGAGAGCCCCCCTCCGAGACGGGGGCCGCTTTGGTGCTGCTCTCTTGGGCAGGCGCGGCGCCGCCGTTGGCAGACGCCTCCTTCAGCTCCACTGCGGCACGCGGGAAAGGGCGTGATGGAGGTCGTAACGGGTAGTTAGGGATCCACGAGTCTTTTCGAGCGCGGTGAAGCATGCATTGAGGCGAAAGCGAACAGGGATCCAGGACAAACGGTAGGGAGCTTGTTTGTGGGCTGCCAGGGCCTTGTGAAGATGAAGATCACACACCATTAGCGTCAACCTCTGTGGCCATGGTGAAGGGGAGGCCCCGAGCGGGGGTGGGGCGCGGTGGGGTGGGTTTCTTCCGGTGTGGCTGGCGTGTACCACAACGTTACTGCAGGTTGAAATTATGTGCGATAGCAATTTTAGAGCTACTGGAGGCCCTGCGCGACCTGTACCGTTTGCAAGGCAGCCTGAGCAGCAATCAATGACTTGAATTACACACCAAAACGCCACGTGACCCAGCGCAAATCAATAACCGCTACAGGAGTTTGAATCATACATGACTTCCGTAGGTCTCCACGAGCTGCTACTGCTGTGCTGATCTCGTCGCAGTGCTGTCTAGAGAGCACGTTGAAGGCCACAAGGCTGCTACTAGCTTGGGAAAAATTCTCTTACTCTGCTGTGCGTGATCAAGAGGGCGGTGCTTGTCCCCTGCTCAACACCTGGATAGCTTGCGGCGCATGCCGCTTGCGCGATGGGGCACAACCAGCCTCCCCCGGGAAGCCAGGACTACCAGGTAGGCGTCCCTTGTGTGATCAAGGATCCTGTGGGGCATATCTATGCATACTAGCGGGGCACGGCATTGGTGTGTTGTTGGGCACCATGTTCATCTGCATCAGCCTGCAGCTGCTTTCCGTTGTGCGCCGGCCGCTGACCACTGTGGCCTATCACGTTCCCACCACATGCTTTTTGCGCAGCGGTACCTGGCCAACGCGCAGCAGCAGCAGCTGCAGCAGCAACAGCAGCAGCAGCAGCAGCAGCAGCAGCAGCAACAGCAACAGCAGCATGTACAGCTGCAGCAAATGCACCCTGGCATGGCAGCGCTCTTGCAGGCTGGTGCCCTACAGCAGCCGGTGCAGATGTATGCACAGCAGCCAACGCAGCAGAAGCCTCAGCAACATTCGCAGCAACAGGTGGCAGCGGTGAAGCGCAAGCCAGATGGGCCTCCCGAAGGGACAGGCCAGTTTGACCCAAAACGGCAGCTGCAACAACAGCAGCCACCCCAGCAGCGGCCCTCACCCGCGCCTCCTGGCCCGCCAATCCCTCAGCAGCTGCAGCAGCAGCAACAGCAGCAGCCGCCGTCGCAGCCGCAGCTGCAACAGCAGCAGCGCCAGATGCCGCCGCCAGGGCTGCAGGCTCAGCAGCAAGCGCTGCAGCAGCAGCTGCAGCAGCAAGCGGCAGCCCGCCTCGCGGCGCAGCAGCAGGGGGCAGCAGTGCAGGTGGTGCAGCGCCCGCCACAGGCTGGGGCGCAGGCTGTTCTCGGTAACAATCCGGTCCTCCTGACGATGCGGCCGCCGCCCCTCGCGCCTGGGCCGGCTGCCGCGGGGAGCCAGGTGCCTGCAGGGGTCATCAGCAGCCCTGGAGCGGCGCCGGGGCCGGGCAGCGACGTGTTCAACGCACCGATCCTGATGGCAGAGCAGGTCGTGACGGCGCGGCTGCCGCCGGCGCGGAGGCTCGTGCCGGACGGGCGCGGCGGCATGGCGTCGGCCGCGGCGCCGGCGGACGAGCAGGGCAAAATTCTGCCGCGCAGCCAGCTGGACCGGCTGATGCGCATGCACGGCCTCGACCAGGTCAGTCTTTTTGGGGGGGGATTCAGACGGGAGCTGGGTCTGTAAGTGGGACACGAGCGTGCAAGCGTGCTGGCCCAAGGCTCTGTGCTGCCATGGGCAACCCTTAGCCTTTGTGCTGTCTGACAGTCTGTGCCTTCCAGCCCGCCGGTCCGGCGTCCACGCGACCTCTCAACCGCCAACATGGAGCATGCCCCGCCTCCTCAGCCTCTGCCCCCGTGCAAAGCCCTTTCCCCACCCCTCCTCAGCAACCTGCCTGCAGCGATACGCCCCCCACCGCTCCCACCTCTCGCCCCTTCCCCCCAGACGTTCCGCCTGGCCCCAGACGTCCAGTCAGAGCTTTCCCGCCTGGCCGAGGACTTTGTGGCCGACCTGGTGGAGCGTGGCTGCCAGCTGGCGGTGATGCGCAAGGCCACCACCCTGCGCGCCTCTGATTTGGCGCCGTACCTGGAGCGCACCCACCACATCCGCGTGCCTGGGTTCAGCGGCGAGCTGCGGCCGTACCGCAGGCCAAATGCGAGCGAGGTGCACCGCGAGCGGGCGGCGGCGGTAAGGCACAGCGCGAGCGCGGCAGGGGCCGCGGCTGGGGCCGGCGGCGGCGGTGGTGGCGGCGGTGGTGGCGGTGGGGTCGGTCCGGGGGCGCCAAAGGGCCGGGGCGGAGGATGACACAGCCACAGTCACGGGGCAAGCGAGAGGCCGCGTCGCTCCACCCTGTGTTGTCTGTCAGTTTGCATCCTCTCGCTTGTGAAGGGCAGCCTGTGGCGTCAACGCACAGTGCCACACCCTGGTGCCGGCTGCCTACCACAGCTACTCTCTAGCGAGTGCCTAATGGCGTTGCCTGGTAAATCGCTTTCGATGCTGGATTGTTGCTGCTGTTGCTGCTGCTGCTCCTGTTAACGCTGCTGACACTGCTGCTACCGCTGCATCTGCTGGTGCAGCAGTTGGAGCATCTGCAGTTGCCAACATGCTGAACAACAACCCTGACAGCCGGCTCGACTGCGGTGGCTAGCTCAGCTGCAAAGGGGGCCAACAAAGAGGTTGGTCGCTTTTACAACTCCAAAGCCCCCACAGCAGGCAAATCCTCCTCCGCTGCACCTACGGCGTGCCGCGCTTCCCGTGCGGCCACCCCTAAAGCTGCGCAGCACAGCTGCAGCCTAGATGCCCAGCTTGGTGCGGCGCCAGTGGCGACGCTTGGCGTTGTAACGGATCTTGTTGTCTGCGAGGGCGCGCAGGGGCGGACAGTACAGAGATGCAAGCGTCACGGCGTCATCCCTGACAAACAGCTGATTCTTGCTTGGGGCTGTACATTGTTCTGTGCATCCCCGTGGTAGAGGCTAGCTCAGCATGAGCAGCACCCGGGGCAGTGCAACTGCTGCTGAACAACCACGAGCACCCCGTTTCATGCGCGTCGCATGCTGGCCTGCAAATGCTGCTGGGCTGGCTGTTATCTGCTGCAACAGCAATGCCAGATCCTTTTGGCAGGCTGTGCTGCAAACGCTCACCCGTCCTGAAACGGATCCAGTGGGGGATGGGCCGGTTCTGCGCGGGAAAGGCGGCGGCAACGCGGCTTGGGCGCAGCGTGCTACTGACCAGAAGCTGCCTGCAGCAGGGGCGCGAGATGTACATGTAGCACACGAAGAGGGGCAAGAAGCGTTCGCATGGCCACCATGCACAGCCAGCAGCGCCAACACCTGGAAGAGCAGACTGCCGCGGGTGCCGCCTGCTGCTGCACCCAACATGGCACAAAGTGGCTCTTGTGGGGGCTTCAGCTGCCCCGAAAATATCTCCACGTATCACACCTGCTTGGCCTTCTTGCCGAGCACGCGCTTGATGCGCAGGCTCTTGTGAGACGGCATGTTTGCGGCCGCGCGATCCTCTGATGGGGCCTTATACCTTCCCACTGGCAATATTTCCCCTGAAAAAGGCCATTGTAAACGCCTGCACCGCCCTTATGCCACCGGGATGCCCACAGTCGCTCTCTACAGTACCTAGCGGGCGAAAGTGGCCGCATGAGCGCCCTCAATACATAAACACGAGGAGGAGCTTCTGTAAGGTTTTTTGATCATGCCTTACTCCTCCACAAAGTGATCTCGATCGGCCTTGAAGACTTGATTTGCAGAGGTCTTCCTGCGGACGTATGCGCGGTTCAACGGAATTTGAATGTTTGTGTGGCACGGCTGCGACAGGCTCGCCCGTTGCAGGGCTGCCGCCATCTGCCTGTGCAGTGGGCAATGGACTGGTTTTTGGACTGAGCTCATCGAAGGAACTCAAATGTCACGTAGATGCCCGGTTGGGTATTGCAGTTGCAGAGAAACAGTCTCCTGCGCATGTTGTAGCTAAATGACTTTGTCAGTCTTGTCATGGGGAGAACATGTGCACCACTGGGTGCTTGCATACACAAGCGTTGCTTTACATGCCGACAAAGCAACTCTGCAGGCTGCATTTGGGCGCACCCCCAACACGTCAGTGTGTCTCAACTGCTGACCCATCCAAGCTGTGCGGCCACGCAGGCACACCACCTGCACTGACATCTCGTGCTGGCACAGCTGCGAGTGCGCATGCACCCTGCAAGCAGCAGGCCCCCATGCAGAGCCTCACGCCACCCCAAGCCCGCCGCTCTTGACGTCTGGCCGCGGCGGGTGCTCAAGCGTTGCCAGGTCAAAAGCACGCAGGTACTGCCGCCGCCGCGACGCCACCGCCGCGCGGATGTCATCTTCCGCCACAACCCCCTGATCGGTCACGACGCCGCCCGTCAACAGGGGCAGCGGCACGGCCTCAAAGTACACATTGCGCACCTCGATGCCGCCGCCGGCGCCGGCCCCCTTGCCGCCGCCTGTCACGCCGCCGCCGACCGCAGCCGCCGCCCTCAGCTGCGCCGGCCACCCTTGCGTGACCTCATCCTCCCCCTTCTCCTCATGTTCCTCCGCCCCGCCCTGATTCCTGCCGCCGGCAACTCCTGTGCTGCCGACAACACCGCCGCCGCTGCTGGCAATGCTGCCGCCGCCGCCGCCGCCGCCGCTGCCCAGTCCCAGGCCAACCAGCTGCTCAACAGGTCCCCCGATGCTGATCTTCCCGCTGTCGCAGCAGGCGTAGACCGGGATCCCCTCCTCCCTCGCCGCAAGCGCGATCAGCCTCGACCCGACCTTGTTAACGGCGCCCGCCTCGGACAGCGCGTCGGCGCCGAGCAGCACCAGGTCGACGGACCCGAGGAACGCGGCCGCCTGCGCGTCGGTGATGACGGTGACGTCGCGCGCCCCGGCGGCCGCCAGCGCGCGCGCGAGCGCGACGCCTTCGCACAGCGGCCGCGACTCGCAGCAGACCACGGCGCCGAGGCGCCCGTCCGCAGCGGCCGCGGCGAGCGCCACGAGGACGGTTGAGGAGTACGAGGTTGTCATCACGCGCGCGCCAGGTGGGATGAGCGCGGCGGCGCGCTCCTTGAGCTGCGCACGCTGCGCTTTCAGGCGCGCTGCCTCGGCGCGCACCGCCTCCAGAAGGGCGACCCTGGCGGAGGCCAGGAGCGGGGTGGAATGAGTTGAGGAGTGCGGATGAGGCGCAGGCATTGCAAACAGAGCGGAAACGGCGAGGTGCATGTGGCTTCAGGGCGGCAGGCAAGGCTGGCGCCGACTCAGCGCCACACGCGCCTCGGCAAGTGGCAGCCGCTCGCCACTCTGGGCCTCAGCAAATCCGCCGTTCAGCTCGCGCCTGCTCCCCCCTCTTCAAACGCCCTTCCCCCCCAACCCCCCGCCAAAACGTCCACTCACGGCCGCCCACTCCCACGCACCTGACAGCCGTGGGGCTTGGGGCAAAGGGGTCGGCGCGCGCCCTCAGCTCAGAGTCCAGTGCCGCCATGACCCCCGCAGCCGCGTTGGCGATGGCCGCCATTGACGGCCGCGCGCAGGCTATGTGCCAGGCCATGTTGCGGTACGCCTCGCAGACGGCCTTGGTGATGGTGGGTGGGGGGGTGGTTGCGCAGCGGACGGGCGGCCGCGGCGTCGCCAGGGTCGCTGCTGGTGCGGGCGCAGCACCGAGGCAGCCAGGCGAGTTGGCAGGTGCGCATGTCGTTCTAGGGCACAGGTGTGCCCGAGGCTCATGAACGCACTGGCAGGCGGCGCTCGCTGACGTGCCATGTGCGGTCGAGCGTTAATGGTGTGTGAAGCTGGATGGCGCCAGCCGCTACCACAGGCGCGAGCAGGTGGTGTCACACCCTACCTGCCAGCAGGGCTGCTGTGCGTCCAGCTGGGCGCGCTGCTCCGCGCTGCCGTCCAGCTCGTACGCCGCGACCGCCCCAAAAGCCTTTAGAGGCGGCGCGATACGCGCAGGCGTGTGAGAGCGTATAAAACTGCGTGCCCACGCGATCCCACTGGCCTTATCACCTTTGATGTGTCGAAAGACAAGCAAAGCATCAAGACAATCCATTTTCATCGGACAGCCCTCACACAGCAACCCCTTGCATTTTTGAAAGCAACCTGTGTGTCACGGTGTCACACCCGCCATCAGACTGCCCGATCCCGTCCCCAACCTGCACTGTGTAGTCGGCCAGCTCGGCAGCCCCATGCGCCCTGTCAGACGCCAGGTACTCCACGTGCGCCGCCATGTAGCGCGGCAGCACCAGCCGCCGCAGCGTCTCCGGCAGCAGTGGCACGTGAGGCAAGGCGGCCAACTCACTTTGAAACGAGGGGGTTGAGGCAGGGGATTGGGGCCATTGCCAATATTGGGGGTCAGGCATGGGGGGCTGTCGCCAGTACAATCTGGTTTGCAAGCGAGAGGCTTGCAAGGCGAGTGGCGGCTGACTTCACTGAGGGGAATCCATACAAGGAGTGTTTGTGCGCAGGGAAGGATCCACCTCGTTACAGAGCACTGGCTTCTGACCCTGGAAGCGTGGTTGTGCCCTATCCCTGTGAGTGCAGCTGCGCCACGCACCTGTCGGCGCCTTGCTGTCAACCCTGGACCCACCTGGGCAGCACCCAGCGCGCCTCTGAGTTTTCCCAGTTGAGCGCCACCGGGGGATCACCCCTCGCCGCCTCGCCCATCTCCCCCTCTCGGGCAGCCTCAAGCACCGCCTCTTCCACTGCTGACGTCACTTCTGCACCCGCTCCGCTGCCGCTGCCTCCGCCGCCGCCACCTTCACTGCCGGCCCCGCAGCTGCCCTCCTGCTTTCGAGTGCGAAAGAGAAATGGGTGCACCAGGAAGTGCCGTGTGCCGTCGCGAACCGGCAGCGGGCGGCCGCAGGCCGCGAGCCGTAGGAGGCGGCGGGGGATGGCAACCTCCTCCTCGACCTGATACGTGCGGGTGGGGTTGACCGCGGCGGGCCAGGTGGTGTTGCTTGCAGTCAGGGCAGTGACGCATTCTTGAGGTTGGTGACGGCGTGGGTGTGGGGTTCGGGTTCGGTGGAGAGGCGGCGGTCGTGCGAGCTGCTCAAGTGTGGCAACCCAGCGAGCTCTTTGCACGTTGACCTTATTGCTTGTTGCCGACTGGGTTTGCACCTCATTGGGGAATTCAGGGATTTTGATGGCCCTCCTGAGCATCTGGCAGGCAGCTGCCATCCTTACCTCTTCGTGTGCGCGATCCAGCAGCGACGTGTCGGCCGGCTCGACGCCGCCGCTGACGCCGCCCCACATGCCCTGGTATGTGCTGACCTGCCGGAAAGGATGTTTAGGGTTGCAAAGGGGCGCATCGAGAGCAAAGACAAGGCGATTGCAGGCAGGGGTGTGAGCAGCGGCATCTTGGCGCTGGCGGCGGCCAGCGTTGGGGGGCCCAGTGCTCTGAGCGCGCTGCAATTCGCATGCGGCGCTCGGGCGATGCTCTCCAGGACAGCACGCCCTGGCACGCCTTGCCTTGTCGCTGCGCTTGACCACGAGCACCCGCCCGTCCCGCCGCTGCACAAAGGCCGTCACCACCGGCCGCCATCCCTCCCTGACTGCCGCTGTCGCCGCGACTGATCCGGGGGTTGCGGTGCCAGCTGCAGCGGCCGCTGGGGGTGCCCCACCAGCGGCGGCCGCATGGCTCATCAGATGTGCGTTCCTATACGCATGGCAGTAGGGTGGGGCTAGCGTGGGTGAGTAATAAACCTTCACGACAAGGCACGAGGTTCTTTAGGCGGACGGTGCCATCGCTCACAAGTCAGCAGCGTCACTGCGCACCGCGCAGGCGTTGCTGCGGGCGGGACGTACCTGCACCGGAGTTGTCGGTGCACTACAACTCGTTGTGTACGAATACTTAGTGCGTGAGCTTTCTCAAACATGAGAGGACGTGAAGCAGTGCACGGGCTCCCCGAAACCGAGTGATCTGAGCCTTTTTTGTGACGTGTGTACGTGTAATTCTTTGAGCTGCATGCAACATTAAGAGCTGATTGCATGCGCAATGATATGTAATGATTCACAATCCATTGCAATCAGTGAGGCCTGAATGGACAACAGCAGTTGTGACAGGTGTTGTACTGTTGAACTGTGAACATGAGAACATTGCAACGTGCCATGGGTTTGCGCTGTGCACCACACGAAGCTGCCTGAAGTCAAGCTGCCTGAATGGGGTGCAGAGCTGCTGGGATTAATGGAGGGGCGCGGATGCTCCTGAACCGCAGCAAGTACGAAGTTCACAAATTTCACTCATGGTACTCGTCCGACTGCATCTGACACATCCTGCCGAGGGTCCCGCACACAGCAAACCAAAATTACACAGATAATTATTTGAATCCAATTGCAGGATTGCATGACGGAAAACTCTGCAGGTTGAGCCTGCCTGTTGGTCTGTGGGGAGGCGCGTCAACACCTGACCCTCACGCGCCCAGTGAGGTGGTGGGCCGGAGGGAGGTGGGGAGGGAGACGGATGGTCGTTGCAAAGACAGGCTTGACCTTGCCTGCGGTTGTTTATTGATCAGTTGGATTCAGCAAGGAATTTTCGACAGGGTCTTTGCTGTCCTCACCGGCACTATGAAAAAAAACCTGTCTAAAACGACAGCCGTGGGCGTCAAGAGATGTCCTCTGCGGTCAAGCGTGCTGCGCGCCGCGTGCAGATATTGCGACGCCCAGAGAAACAGAGTCAGACCCCCATTGAGGGCGGCGCTGGGTGCGACGAAGGCCAGGGAAGCTGGCTGGCCACCGGCACGTCTTCTTGAACTGCCGCTTGCATCTCGGCCGTCGCCTGCCGCGTGTCTCTTTCGGGGACGCCGCCGACACCGCTGCCGCCTGTCGCGCCACCTGCATGCGACGCGCCCGGCTGTCTTGTGCCCCTGCCGAGCACTACCGCTGCGCCGCCCTCCCCCAAATCGGCGCCGCGATGCCCAGCCTCCCCTGCTGCTGCGGCTTTGCGGGCCGGCTCCGCGCTCGGCAGCCGCCCCGCCTGCGCTTCTGTGCCCTGCAGCGGCTGCCGAGGGTCGCCGCCGGCGCCGGCGCCTTCTAGCACTGCGAGAATTCTGCTGAGCCATGGAACCACCTTCCAAAGGGGGGGTGGGGGCAGCGCAGCGAGAGGCGGGGGCTCAGCCTGCGGAGCAGGATCTGCCCGGATGCAGCAGCAACGCGCCCAGGACCTGTCCGCCAGAGCAAAAGTGCAAGGCCTGCGATCAGTTGGTTGCAAGCGCCCCGCAGTGCGAGCCCCGAAGGACCCCCGCTGCGGCTTGCTGCCCTGCCGTGCAGGCGATGCTAGTGCACTGCAGGCGCCCACCTCGTCAAAGGCGGGGCGCTGCTCAGGGATGGCGGCCCAGCAGGCCCGGGTGAGGCTGGCAAGGGCTGGTGGCGTGTGGGGCGGGATCTCCGGCCGCAGGCCCCTGCGGCGCGAGGCGAGGGCGAAAAGCAAGGTGAAGAGCCAGGTCAAAGTCGAGGGCGAGTGTGAGGCCGTGGGGCGAAGGATAGAGGCGGTGGACCAACCACAGCGCTCTGCCCGCTCTGTCTGGTTGCCATGTGGCCTGGCTTGCCACGTGGCAGATTGATGGGGCGCCAGGCACGCCCAACGTCAGCACCGCCTGGCGCCGCGGGGCCGCAGCCCCTGCTCCTGTGGCGGCCCTGGGCACTCCCACGCCGCAAGCAGCGGCTCATCACACCAACACTTTGTTGGCCCCACCTGTTCACGACTGCCATGGCGGCCTGCACCCCGTTCATGCCCTCGTAGGGCACGGTCCGTGCGCAGCACTCCCACACCACCACACCAAAGCTGTACACGTCAGCCTTGGAGCTGTACCGCTGGTTGGCCAGCACCTGGGCAGGAGAGTGAGTGATGGACAACGTGGAAGGCGTATGTGCGCTTGTGAGCACGCGTGCACCAGGGTGTTTGTGTATGTGTCCACACAGTAGCGTGTGGCATGTGTGAGCGTGTATGTGTGTGTGTGCCCGGGTGTTATGTATGTGGACAGTAGCGCAGGAGACGGAGCGTGGAACGAAAGAGCGGGGGGGGGGGATCAAGAAAGTAAGCGTGCGCGCGCGTGTGTGTGCGTGTGTGTGTGTGTGCGCGTGTGTGCATATGTGTGTGTGCATGTGTGTGTGTGTGTGTGTGCGTGTGCGTGTGTGCGAGCATGTGTGCGAGCACATCCCCCAGCAAATGCACGGTCAAACATGGAGTGTGCTGCTGACATCGCGCGGTGTCAGAACACACCAGCAAAGGCGCGTCAGTCAGAAGAGTCAATGTCATCAACATCACCAACAGCCGCTTGTCGCATCCCAGCTCAGCCCGTTCCTGCGCAACAACGCATCGGAAAAGGCTCCCGCAACACACCTCTGGCGCCATCCACTGGAACGTCCCCAGGCCGCCTGTCATGGTGGCCAGGCCGCCGGCCTGCAGCCGAGACAGCCCAAAGTCTGCCACCCGCACCGACAGCTGCTCAGTCAGGAGAAGGTTGGCACTTTTGAGGTCCCTGCGGGGTTCAGGGGCGATTTGCGGTTTCACAGGACCAGGTGATCAGATTTTGGTGTTGAGAGATAGCGTGGACCAGGAGATGGGGAGGCAAGGTGCCAGCATGTGCAGTGCATGCCGCGGGTGACAGAGCAGCAGGGTGAGCTGCAACAGGGCCTGCTCGCGCCAGGGCAGACAGCAACACAGGGAAGCGCGCTCTAATCGCTTGGCCACCTGTGCAGAACGGAGTGGCGATGCAGATGGGCCATGCCCATGGCGGCCTCCCGCAGAACCTGCACCACCTGGTGGGCGTCGGGAGTCGGAAGCTTGAGGGCTGATGCAAGGAGATGGGCCTCACCAGGGAGAGGCACCATAGTGAGCAATGCAATCACAGCGCCTGGACTCCAAGGAGCCAACAACAGCAGGTTTGTTGAAGCGTGCCAGTTACCGAGCTGGAGCAGGGCGCCATGCAGGCGCTAGCTGCCCGCACCGGCGCACCTGGACCCAGCTGAGCTGCGCTGTCGGGCAGTGCAGAAGGCCGTACAGGCTGCCGCCTGCGCAGAGCTCCGTCACCAGCGCCAGCGGCGGCACCGTGCACACCGCGACCAGCTTGAGCACGTTAGGGTGGTCAGGAAGGGACAGCATGGTTGATACCTGGGGGAGGTGGAGGGTGCGCGGGCAGGCGCATGTTATTGAGGACAGCGCCAAGCAGGAAGACGCCGCAAATGGGTCGCTGTGCTGCTGGCGCGGGGCCAGCAACGTCCGATTGACAAGGGGAGTGCATTGATGGCACCGCCGGTTTGTTACGGCTTGATGCGCCTGGAAGTGGTCGCCCTCACCTCGCGCCTGAACTCAAGCAGCAGCCGCGGCGTCACCTGCGCCTCGGGTAGCTGCTGCTGCTGCTGCTGCTGCTGCTCATCCTGCTGCTGTGGCGGCTGCTGATTGCCTAGTACGGCACTCGGCGCGGTGTGCTGCTGGCTAGACAGGACTTTGATGGCAACAGGCTGACTGCCGCGGCAATGACCAAAATACACCTGAGGCCACCGGGGAGGAGATGGTGCATGTTCACTAACTTGGGGCAACTCGACGCATGGGACGTGTTGCTACGTGCATGGGCCTTAATCTTGCCTAGGTGCTGAAGACTGCAGATGCGGTTCCCCCTCACCACCATCCCACCATCCGCATCACCCCGCACACGCTCACCTTGCCGAAACCGCCCTCGCCAATGGATGGCCCCAGCTTTAGATCTGCGAATGGGACCTCCTTGTCCCCTGCAAGGTCGCCAAGCATACCCCCAGGTGGTGCCTGACGCAGCTGCGGCTGCGGCTGCTGCTGCTGCTGCTGCTGCCGCGGCCGCTGCTGCTGCTGCTCTGCCTGCTCGCCAAGCTGCCGCACGGGCTGCTTCAGGGTCGACGTGCCCGCTCCAAGCGGCGCCATGTGCACTGGTATGGCATCGGCCCCTGCATGCTTTGTGTGGCCGTGTGGCGGCCGTTGCAGTGCAGCGCTCAGGCTGCCGCCCGCCAGCTGCGGGACGCGAGGGGGCGTCCCTGGCAGCACGGGCTCGGTGGCAACTAATGCCAGCGGCTGACCCCACTGCGGCGGTGTTCGTGTGCGGGCACTGTTCAACAAGGCCGCGTCCCCCATGACATTTCCCCCGATCGCTGCCGCCGCTGCTGCTGCTGCTGCTGCCCCATCCTGGCCCACTTGCTGCTGTTGTGGCTGCGCAGGCACATACGCTGCTACGTCCACCAGTGGCTGAGCGGCCTGAACTGCGTCGCCCTCGCCAGTGGATGCGTGCACCTGCTGCTGCTGCTGCTGCTGCTGCTGTTGCTGCTGCTGCTGCTGCTGTTGTTGCGTGCATGCCGCCTGAGCCTCACGCAGCGCCGTTGCCAAGGGCGCATGTCCCTCCAGCACAAAGGCCCCATACGACTGTGCTTGCATGGGCACCGCCGATGCGGCTTTCGCGCGTGACGCGTGCTCGGTGTGGGGAGGCCCGTTTGCACCACTATCCAGGATCGAGGCCTGCCGAACTGGGCAGGCCGGCTGCTGCCACTGTGCCTGTGCGTGCGCGTGCAGCATAAGCTCTGCAGGCGCGCCCACTTGCTCAGTCTGATGCTGTTGCTGCTGCTGTGGTGGCCGCTGCTTCTGCCGCTGCTGCTGCTGCTGCTGCCGCTGCTGCTGCTGCTGCTGCTGCTGCTGCTGCTGCTGCTGCTGCTGCTGCTGCTGCCGCTCCTGCTTCTGTGGTTGCCGCTGTTGCTGCGGCTGCTGCTGCTGCTGCTGCTGCTGCTGCTGCTGTACCAGCTGCTGCTCCTGCTGCTGCTCTGCCAGTGATTGCAGCGCCGCCGTTGCCTGGGAGGGCCATGACGCATGCCCCGTATGTGAGATGCCATCCGCACAAACGGGACTTTGGGAGGTGCAAAGGGCGGCTGCGTGCCTCTCCGCCTGCTCAGGCTGCGCTGTGCCAATCGACGCCTGCCGCGCGAGGGGGCACGACCCAGCGGTAGCCACCGTCACCATGACACCGGACGTTCCGGGGCCGGCAACACCGGGAGGCGACTGCACACGCTGCCGGGGGTCATCCTGGCTCGGTACACCCTGCCGCAGCGGTGCTGCCGTCTTGGATTGCTGCTGCGCCTGCTGCTGCTCCTCAAAGGGCAGCAGGGGCTGCCGCTCGGCGCCCAGGCCTGCGCCGCCGCCGCCACCCGCGACCTGCCACCAGTTGAGCCCCGCGCGCAGCTGCCCGGGGTCCGACGCGCCGCGCAGCGGCGGCGCCGGTGCCGCAGGAGTGAGCGTGCCCGAGACGGGCAGCGGCGCGCCGCCGCCGGTTGAGCGCCAGGACGCGCGCAGCGCTGCGATGCGCGACTTGGACTTTGCCAGCGCCTGGATGGGGACGCCGACTCCCTGGGCGCCGTGGGAGAGCTCCTCCAGCAGGGAGGGCAGCAGCGCCCAGGACGGGGCAAGTGTTGCTGCGGGGCGCGTCGAGTCTGCGAAGCGCGCAAGCGACGCGGGCGAGTTGGGACCCTGGCGCAGGGCGTTCCGCCAACATGCCATGAATGGCGTCCAGCTCATATACACTATCTAGCTCACTTTTAATGTGTGTTTATTGCCGCTAGGCTGCCTGACGTTAAGGTTGGCTACCGGCAGTTCGTGCTGCAGCAGGCGGCATCAGCAGGACAGCAGGGACGGCATGGCGATCGAGGCGCTCACCTGCCCGCTGCGTGCCCGTCTCCAGGTCGCCTTCTTCCTTCTTGTCTCCTCCTTGCGGACAGAGCACCGACACTTCGGAACATTTGTCCCACGAGCTCTCCAAGCAGTTTAGCAGCATCGCTGCCACGCCTGCCCTCCGGTCTGCAGGCTAAGCGCCACTACAAGTGATTAGACATATGTATACGTTGCTCATTGCCTCGAAACACGCCCAGATCAGGAAGACCCGCGGCCCGAGGTTTATGCCAGTGTTGTTACAGCTAGAAAGACGGAGGGGAAGCAAGTGCCACAGACAAGTCAGCTGCAGATGGCAGCAGCAGGCAGCGCACTGCCATTGGGTGCGACAGGCCAAGTGGTCAAGGTTCATCAGACTGTGACTCGGTGCAAAAGCGCCATGCAGTCAGTGCATGCAGTGCAGTGCGCACAGGCTACAGTATGGTTTCAGCGCAGCCAGTATCATAATGTGTTGGCCAGCACACAGATACACAAAATGCAAACAACAAAACACATATACCATGAAGGCGAATATCATGGCAACGGTTTGCACACGGCCCCTAACCACCCCAACTGATCATCTGCCTACGTCAGACTGCGACGAGCTCCTGGGCGGCGTCGATGCGGCTGCTGCTGCTGGTCAAGTTGGAAGGGCTCGCCATGCTCGTCGGGCTCGCCATGCTTGCCGCCGGCGAGATGTGGTCCCGCTTGCTCGCCGGTTTGACTGGCTGTGCACCGCGCAAACGCAGGTCGCCCGGGCGGCGCAGGCTGTCGCCTGACGTGGGCGCAGGTGACCGTGGCGCGGGCTTGGGCGGCGAAGCTGTCGCGCCCCGGTTGGGCGAGCCGCGGTACGCCCCCAACGCGGGCGACGATGGCCGGGGGGTGGGCAGCTGGGTCAACAGCGCCGCTGGCTGCGCATCTGAAGCGTCGATGGGCGAGGCCTTGGCGAGCAGCGGCTCGCGCTGCTCTGTTGCGGCTGCAGCACTGGGGCGCGCCGCGCCAGGTGCAGGGCTGGGAGGCCCTGGGACTGGGGGCGAGGAGCTTGACACAGGGAGCGTAACAGGATGCGCTGGCTGCTGGGGAGCCGCCTCTGCCGGGCCCGAGGCAGGTGCCGCCAGACGCCCCTGGGGTGGCTGGGCTGCCTGCTGCTTGGGCGCGACGGCAGGGGAAGCAGGCCTGCGCCGCAGTAAGGGGCGCAGTGCGGCACGGTGGTGAGGAGGATGCTGAACAATCTGGCGGTCAACCTGTGTGGCATTCTGCATGTGTGGGTTGTACACTCGCAAACCATGCGATACGGGTACACCTACAAGCAACCCCAAGTACACACCAGTCAAGGTAGCTGTAGGTCGCAGCCTTGATGCGGCGATAGACCGAACGCGCGACATAAGCCGAGGTGGCCGCTGCGAGCGCCCATGAGCCAAGTGCAAGGGTGGGTGCTCAGGCTGCCGGAGCGCTTGCTGCGAAGACAACTTGAGGTTGCATGGCCAACGCCATGTGCCCACCGTGTGTCTTCAAAGTGCCAACCCCCTACAAATATGCCAGCACAACCGTCGACACACCGTGTGTTTTCAAAGTGCCAACCCTCTACAAAAAGCCAACACGACCGTCGACACAATCCACCTGCGCGGGACTCAGCTGGGCACCCACCTGACAGGATGGTGAAGCCGCACACTGCGCAGGTCCCTGCGAAGAAGAGGGTGCTGCCGCCCACCATCACGGCCGCCACCGTTGACACCGAGACTGCAGGCGGGATAGATGCATGGCCGTTAGTTATCCTCAACTTTGGAGCTTGCACCAGAGGTCTGCTGCCGTTAGGTGGGCTCGACCTTGCGATCCATGCCGCTGCTTCATAGACAGCCGTCCTGCAGGACTGCAGCTGGCGACGTCACAGCTGCACCCGCAAGTCCCGTGTGGGTCAGCGAGCACTGGTGCCGACAGCTCACCGAGGAACGCGTACACGAACACCCCGACCCAGCACGTGGCAATCAGCACGGCAGAGAGCGCCACCAGCGCCGAGCTGACCGTTGCGATGGTCAGCAGCGCGGCGCCCACGAACGCCTGCAGGATTGAGTGATCCACCACTCCTGAGCACTACCGCCTGGGCAAGCAGGAGGCTCTTGCGGGCAGTTCACCGAGCCGCACGGGTTCCACTCACCGTCCATCCCAGCAGGGTCGTGGGCTTGTGATTGCGCCATTTATCCTTGATCAGCTGGCCGCTCCACACCGCAGTCTCGGCCAGGCTCTGGGTCGTTCTATTAGCAACCTCCTTAGCCGACTGGTACAGCGCCATTTGTCCCCAGTTCCCGCGTCGCGGATAAGACTGTTCGTTGCGCCTCGACGTATGGGCACAGGGCCTTAATACCACTGATCAAAATCTAAAGATGAGACAGATTTAGCTGCGCACGTCGCAAAAGACATCACGGCACTCTGGTGGTGCTGTGGTGTCACCGGCCAACTCACATCCAGCACACGCGAGTGTGTCTTGATCCATCTCAAACGAGGCGCAACACTCGTAGAAGCACAAAAACATCTGCAATACCGCAGTAGCGGCGGCAAGCACTTGCCGTCGCGCTTCCAACAGCGGGTGCGTGTTCCAACAGCGGGTGCGTCATCAGGGATGCCAGGTGTTGCGCTAGAAACGCAGCGGCTGGCGCATGGGCTCCTGCAGCGCCTTCAAGAAGCCACGCAAGCTCAAGATGCGGCCCAGAACGCTGAGGCGGCGCTCGCAGAGGCGCGCGAGCCGCTGGTGCGCGCTGCGCTCGAAGAGGCAGGCCAGCCACTTCACGATCCCACCGACGTGTTCCGCCGCTGCTGCAAACTGCTGCGCCCCGAGCTGCCCTGGCGCCTGTCGGCTGCCGGGGCAGCCACTGCCCTAGCACTTGTCGCCGGCTCGCCGGCGCGGCGGCAGCAGGCAGCAGCGAGCAAGGGGCTGGTGCAGGCACTGGCGCGCGCCTGCGGTCGAAAGGGATCAACGGCAGCGGCGGCAGCGTTGGCAGAGGTGGTCTTGAGTGACAAGGCGGCAGCCAGGATGGCTGTCGATGCGGGCGCGGCCGGCACGCTGCTGCGCCGGCTGGCATCTCTGGCGCTCGGCGGCGCGGACGACACTGCGGCGGCCGCAGCCCTCAGGGCGCTTGCGGCCCTGGCGGAAGCGCTGGGCAGGGACGACGTTGCGGCTGCTGACTTGTGGGGCTCGCCCGGGCTCGCCGCCCAGGCCGCGCGCTGGCTCGCCAGGGCGCCAGGCGGCGGCGCGGCGCCGCGGGCAGCGGCCGCACAGCTGTGCGTCCCGCTGCTGGCGGGGGGGCACGGGGCGCCAGGGGCGGGCGGCGCGGTGCTGCTGCGGCAGCCGGGGCTCGTGGCCGGACTGGCCGCCTTGGTGGCGGATTCGCGGCAGCTTCAGGCGCCGCACGAGCTGCTAGAGCTCATGGCCGCAGTCAGCGCGGTGTCCGCTTACGGCGGCCACGCGGCAGCCGCGGCCTTCGCGGCGGCCCAGCCGGCAGGCGGCGCCGGTGCTGCCGAGCCGGGTTTCTTTGACGGCGTCGCCTGGGCGCTGTCGGCGCCGCTCCTGCCGCGCGGGGACGTGCAGATGCTGTCGCGGCAGTCGTTCGAGGGGCAGGCGGTCACGGCGCTGACCATCAGCGCAGGATCCCTGGTGCATGCGCTGACGCAGCACCCGACCCCTGGGCTGCTGCGGTGCCGCCCGGCCCTGCTGGAGGCACTGGAGGCGGGCGCCGCCCGGGCGCGCACATGGGGGCAGGCGAGCAAAGCTAGCGGCGACAGTCTCGGTGACAGCGACGCCCAACAAGTGGTGGAGCACCTCAATGATGCGGCCGATGAGTTGAGGGCCCTGAAGGACGCGGATGTTGCTGCCGGGGCTCTGGAGGTGCTCGGGATTGCGGGGCCAGGCGGCGGCGGCGATGATGGCGTCGCCTGCGCCAAGCCAGAATCCTCTACTGACGCCGGTGCAAGGCGGTGTGAGGCGTGCGGGCGGGTGGACGGTGGCGACGGCGGCGGCAATCCGTTGCTGGCGTGCGCTGGCTGCAAGGGCGTGCTGGAGGTCTTCTTTTGCAATGTGAGGTGGGAACGAGGTCGTTCAAGACAATGGGTTTGGCTGCACGCCCTTGTGGAGGAATATGCTGTTGCTGACTCAAACGCCCCAAGATTTGCATTCGTGTGGCGCACCAGCGGTTGCTGATTGAACCCTGTGTGAAGTGCATCCGCAATGCGCCCTTCCCCCCCTGCAGGCAATATGCCAGAGGCAAGCTTGGAAGGCCGGCCACAAAAGCGCCTGCAAAGCTGCTCAAGAGCAGCGACGACAAGGGCTTGCTGCGAGCTAGTGACGAATTCTTGAGGAGTAATTGTCTAGCATCTGCGTTTTATAGCTACGGGTTGGTGGAATGATGCCGGTGCGGGTGCATGGGGACAGCTGAGCTCAGGTTGACCACAGCTGGCGGGGCCGCCAGCAGGTGCCAGGTGATGCAGAGACGCAAGACACTACCTGCCCAGCTGCAATCACGCATAAACACGATATTGATGAGCTTGTGATGGTGGGGCCTGAGGTCGTGAGCTGTCCTCTGTGGTTGCGGCAGGTAGCAGACCGGTGTGCAGATCACTTGACCAGTACCGTACAATTGAACGTGCTCTGATCAAACCTGATCCTGATGAAATTGATTAGCAGCCAATATTGCTTTTCTGAAGGGCCGTTTCGAGGCTAGAGGGTCTGGACCCAACCAACGCCGATCCGTGTGCAATAGCCCAGCATAATGATGGCATGTTGATTCAAACCTCTGTGAAAAAACATATCGGGCGCCTTCTCGGGGTATCGGCGCCGCAGCAGTAGTGGTGCGCTGCTGCCGCAGCTTTGTGCTTCGCGTTCGGGGCATGGCATGCAGGCTTACGCATGTGAACATGCGCAGCTGCAGTGGATGCTAATTGCAGCAATCAGCACAGATAGCAAGGTGTATTCACATGATCAGCGGCCCAACCTGCACGCGACTTGCTGCGCCGCATTCATTTTCCGCAGCGGCCGTGCCGCCCGTCATGGCGGCCGCCGCGCACGACGCGGCGCGCTACGCCGAGTCGCTGCGCCGCGAGCTCATTGAGGGCCTCGGCATCGGCGACCTGGACGGCGGCGCCAGCGACGGCAGCGACGGCGAGGGCTACTCAGGCTTTGGCGCGGGGCAGGGGCCGCCAGGCGGCGGCGCCAGCGGGCTGCGGGACCTCGATCGGGAGCTCGAGGCGTTTGAGGGCCACGAGGTTATCAAGGACATCCTGGACCAGGGGCACGTGCCCAAGGAGTACGCGCGCGGCATCGACGACCGGCTGCGGGCGGCGGAGCTGGAGTCGATCCAGGACTACATCGCTGAGAGCGACAACCTGGTGGCACTGCATGGGCAGGTGGGCCGGGGGAGGTCACAGAAGGCAGATAGACACATAGGGAGTGTGTGTGTGTGTAGGTCTTTGTGCACATGCAAGCAGTTGCAAAGGTTGCGTGCGGTTGGCGTTACATATAATTTTGTAGGGGTATGCGCCCGCAGCTAAGCTGCATTGGAGCATGGCGCCACCATGCAGGCGGCATGCAGCTGATGCCGCAGGGGGGATGGACCCCGGGCGCTTGGAAACCCTGGGCCATGATCCCCCTTTCGCCCCAGCTTGCCCCTGCACGCCTCACGCGCGCCCGCTGCGCGCGCCCCGCCGCCCCTCGCCCCCAGATCACGCAGTGCGACGGCATCCTGGAGCACATGGAGCAGCTGCTCGGCAAGTTCCAGTCCGACCTGGGGAAGGTGTCCGACGAGATCCGCGCGCTGCAGGTGCAGAGCCAGGCCATGAGCACGCGGCTCAAGAACCGCCGCACCATTGAGAACCGGCTGGGGGCGTTCATCGAGGCCATGGCGGTGCCCGAGGAGATGGTGGCCGGCATCATGGACGCAGAGGTGGGGCGGGGGCGCGGGCGGGGACGGCGGCGGGGGGTGCAGGAGGCGGTCGCCCTAGTAGTGTTTTGATGTCATGCGAGTGTCAGATCGGACGTGGCTGTCATGCCTGCGAACCTGCTGCCCCAACCTGCCTGTGCAAACTGCAGAGACACACTGCCGCGCCGCCCCGCCAGCGAGCCCACCACTCAAGCATATCTAATTCCACCTCCGCAGAGCCCTTAGCCCCCAACCCCTCCTTGTTACACCCCGATGTCCGCCTGGTGACACCCCGATGTCCGCCTGGTGACACCCCAATGTCTGCCTGGTGACACCCCGATGTCTGCCTGGTGACACCCCGACGTCATCAAACCCACCCCTCCCAGGTGAATGAGGAGTACCTGGAGCACCTGCTGGCCCTGGACCGCAAAGTCAAGTTTTTGGCGGGCGACGACACCGCCAAGGGCAGCCAGTGCCGCCGCGACGTGGAGGTGGTGCTGGAGAAGCTGCGCATCAAGGCCATCACCAAGGTGCGCGGGCGCAGGGGGGGCACAGGGGTGTGTGCGAGCGTGTGCGCATGTGTGCCTGAGTGTGCGTGTGCGTGTGTGCATTCGTGTCTGCATGTGGACCTGAGTGGGCATGCGCGCGCCCTGCGTTCGTTCACGTGTGCACACCTGATCAATGGGATGAGTGGTATTTGAGCAAACATAGCATGCCGCAGGTTCGAACGCCGCTCATCCCTCAGCAGCTACTGTGGCCAGCAGCAGGCGCCGTCAAGGCCCACCGCCGCCTCGCAGTGTCGTCTTGCCCATCTCAACCCCGGCCATGCACCTCCCCTATCTCCTCCCCCCCCCCC